TGAACAGGCAAGTGCCTTTATTATGGCAGCTATCATAGGAAATATTATTTTATGGTAAAATTCTTCCTTAACTTAAAAGATTATGAATCTCTTTAAATGAAATTAAGTTTAAATATATATATATATATAATATATATATATATATATATATATATAAAACATGTTTGTGTATGAATATTTGTTCAATGTACATAAATATATTGTCTATCTACTTATATATCTGTGTAAATGCTAAAGTAGGAACAGGGATACATAACAGGTTGTCCCATTCAGTAGTACCTCGTCACTCCCTCACAATTTCTTTTTTCTTAAATAGCACTGGAGCAGAGTCAACTCTGCTCCAGTGCTATTTAAATTATCTGTGCATAGTGAAAAGAACCAACACAATACAATGGCTTTCTTCATGATATAAACATTGGTATATTTTTTGGTAGACAATCTTTTTAATCTTTCAGAGTTTCTCAAAAGCACCTTATAAATCTTATTGAGAATTTTTTTTCTATTGACACTATTTTTGGGTGTGGCAATGGCAAATGTTATTTTTTTTCTTTTTTAATTTTACATTTCAATATTCTGTTTAAGCATAACAATGAGTAAGACTATCATTTGATAGTTTTATAGAGAAACAAGAGGAAAACAATTTGCAGGTAAAATGCAATATTATCCCATGATTTTTAAAAGGAAAGAAAGTTTTTATATTTCATCAGTCTATGGATATTTAGATTCATAAATTTAATGGAAGATGAATTTATCTCTAAATTACATATTTATAAAACTGTTCATTCTTGTCTAGAAAGTATTAAGATATATATTCATGAATGAATGTTACATATTTTTGCAAGGACATTGTTGTGAAATAACACCACTCAAAACTCCTTGTCATTATTATTGTTTTCATTTTCATGACTGAAATCACCCAGCAGGTATTTCACATAGGTATATACTAATCCTAACATACAAAATTGTTCAAATAACAAAGGTATACAGGAATAAGTTTAATCCTCTCTATTCAACAAATGAGTTCCCAATTTGTTTGAACGTTTGCAATTTATAAGGTTTAAGTTTGTATGTGTGTAAAGTTAATATTTGGTCATTGAAAAACATTAGTTTGTGTTTCTAAAATACTGTACAGAATGTTTTAAGATTTTTTTATTGTCAGATTACCTGTATAAATTTGTACAGGAAAGAGTATTTTCTTTATATATATATATATATATATAAGTCATGATCAAATCTATTTGCCTTTTTCTCCAGCTTCTTTGGAGATTTTTTTCAATGGTAATTTTTTTCAATAGTAAACAAAAAAAAAGAGAGCTAATAAGGAAATGAAGGTAGAAAGTAGTGTAATAACAATGTAATCCTCTATAAAAGCCAATGTAGTTTTACTAGATTCTTAGGAAAAAATAAATATAATACTGCCTGTTTTTTAATGCATTTTTATTATATTGTGTGTTGGGGCTGTTGTTTAGCTTAGTCTGTACTGCAGGGTAGCCAATCAAAGGCAAAATAGTTGTACCCATGGGTAGTGAGGTTATTGCCTGGTACCTGAAGTATCCCCACAAGGAAAATTCTGAGAGGGCTTAGGCAGTTTTTCCATGGTATTGCTGGTAAATCCACTCTAAACTTTGACCTTTTGTCACATTCAGTAGCGATGTGGGTACACTGAAAAATTTAATTTTGTTTAGTGAGCTGCTAACAGCCATCGGTGATCAGCTTTCAGTTGCATTGCTTCCTTTGTCAATTGAATATGGAATTATTATTTTCATGTAGAGAACTGGTAGCAATTAACCACTGATAAATTTTCTGGTATTTTTGTTAATTTGTTTTCAAAATTTTCCACAATGATGCAAAATTTGAGATGTATAATTCTGTTCCAAAGTTTAATAAAATTGAATTGGATAATGTTGCCTGATGTTGCTGATCAATTCAAATTGATGATTGTTGTTTATTTGGGAATAATTGTTTAAAAACAGAAAATCATTTTGTCTTAAAATGATATATTGATATTTAATAATAGTGATATTATTGTACTTTAGTTAACATAGTGCTTAATACTGATTACTTGTCAACCATACTATTTATCTGACAACACATTCATTTATATATGCATGGGAGTTCAGCCTCTTATTTACTCTTCTGAATTTTCATTTGAGCTAAGAGAGTTAACTTCTCTTCATTTAATACAAGTTATCATGATCATATTCAGGAAGTTAAAAAGCTGATTCTTGAATGAAACCATAGACATGTGGTCTATTGATCAAATTTTTCACTATAAATCAGTTACTCAAATTAATAATTAATGTATCAGGTATATAATAGATGTATTTCAAAAAAGGTCAGTCCGGGATGAACAGTTACAAATGTAACTGGCAATAAATAGGGAAACATTTTGTAGGTTAGCATTCTTTAGACCTTCCTCAAACCATAACATTTGTCAGAATCCAAAAATACTGTTTTTTTTTATTGATTTAGAAGGGGGTCCTGTTCATAATGTCAATGAAGTGTGAAATTGATCCCTGAATTTTACAGGGTTATCTGCACAGTTTTTTATTTACAAATGACATGTCTTGAAAATGTGCTTATGTCATTGCCTATTGTTTTTATACTTTTGTTAACTTATGTAAATTTTTCTTCTTTAATAAACAATGTGGCACTACTTCAAAAATGTATGCATCTTTTTGTAAAAACAAGAGAAAAAAATCAATTTCACCAAAATACTGCTTGTTTAAGATATTTTTCTAAGTACATAAAAATGTATATATCAGTTTGTTCCTTATTTAAAAGAAATCTTTTTATCAAATAAAAGCATTTGTTTTTGTATTTTCAATGATATAAGCACAGTTTCAACATTTGTAAACAAAGTTATTTCCCAATAACTCTGTAAAATTTGGGGATCAATTTTACACTATACTGATATTATGAATAGGACCCATTTCTAAAATCATAACAAATTAATATTTTTTTAAATTCTGACAAGTGTTGCAGCTTAAAGAAGCCCTAAAGAATGCTAATTTGAAAAAAATATTTCCCAAAACATTTTCCTCTATTTTTTACAGGTGGACCAGTTTACTTAAGTAGTATTATGTAACCATTCCATATTATCATGTTGGAAAAGAAAGATGAATAAATGCATAAATTGTGGAAGTTATGTATATGGGAATGTATTGATGGTTATGCATATGTAGAAAGTAGGTTAAGTATTTGAATAATAAGTAGTTTGGTAGATATAGGTATGTATAAGTAAAGTTTGGATAAGAATCTGACAATATTAAATAATTTCAAAAACTTGTTATATATTTGTTATATTTGTAGGAGAAGAGTGTTTATAGATATAGACAGTGTGGACTTAGGAATCAGCACTGCATGGGGACTGTCAGTTTCATACCTCAACATCATTTTCAAACCATGTATCAAGGTATGAATAGTCACTATGCACTGTTGATTCCTATGGCTAAGCTCTCTCTATACATGGAGCACAAAAATTCAACACAATTAGGAAGTTAGTTAATAATGAGGACAAAATATGGTCAAACTTCATTAAACATCACCTCAAAATATTCACTTACCCAAATATCCAATAAACATCACACACACACACATATGCGCACACACACACACATATATATATTAATTTCTTTTGCTTAAACATTATTTTTAGATGGATACTCATATTCAAGTAAATTGTTTATTTAATTAAACAGTATTTTTATTTAATTACATTTACCGCCCTGAATATATATATATATATATATATATATATATATATATATATACACAAATGCAATGAGAATGAATCAAATACAAATTCAAATGTTCATAACATTAATTTAAAATAGTGCTCAATACAAAAGTAGAGCTATAATCCTTTATTATAGGTAATTACATTTGAACACATATCACATATTACTGCTAATATAGTGGTAATATCTGTGTTCAAATGTAATAAACTATAATATGTGTGTGTGTGTGTGTGTATATATATATCTATATATATATATATATATATATATATATAATAGATATTCATATAAGATTTTATAAGGAGTAAGAAGAATGTGTTTAGAAACAACCTACCTATTTTAATTCAAGATATTGACTTTCACTTATTCTCAAACAAATAAAGGGACTTATTTATTAATGCTAACAGATCCTTATTTAAGCTTGTTGAGTATTATCAATTTTACAAGCATACAATTGTACTGAAGGTCTTCTTGCAGCACCAATTTTTTAAGGGGAAAAGTTTTATATACCTTTGTTGGAATCCTGCTGTTGACCTGAGCAAGAATAGTTTAAAGTAAAGTAAATTGTTAAAAGGCAAACTAACTTTTAAGCCCAAAGAGAAATACTTAGTCTTAACTTGTCTTTGAAAGATACAAAGTTACAAGCCTGTCTCTGTTCTACTGATGGGAATGGGATAATGGAAACACTGGAAGTGTCATCGGTGTGTGCACATGACAGTCTCACTCCACCTACTCAGGTGAGTGCTGCTGCTGATCGGAAAGTCGGTGGGGAACAAAGGTAACAATGTATCTTCCGAGAAAAAGTGTTACCGCGGTCAAATTGTTAACTTTATGCGTGGGTTATGAATACAGGGTGTCATGGGTCAGTGTCCTTCCCCGCCTCTTATTTCATAATAATGATCAATACATAAAAGTAGAGAAAGTACAGAATCGATGAGAGACAAAAAGAAAAAAAGAACATTTTAGGCGGAGTCTGTTACATGCATCGCCCTGCCCCCACCACACTGAGGACGGCAGATGATCTGTGCTGTCATTTTTTTTTTTTATCCTCTCATTAGGTTATCGTTTAGTATTTTGCTTGCCCGTGGCAAGCAGGCGCGGTGGTTATACCATCGTGTTTAGTTTAAGATATATATATATTTTTTTAAATTATTGACTAAAACAAAGGAAAAACAATAGTACCGAATGGACAGTACAGTTACTTTTACCACATTGGTGTTCTCACATTAAGAGAGAAAGAAGAAAAAGAAACTTTGGACAATGTGTTGTTGCTGCCTCGGTTACTCCCAAAGTAGCAGGAACCTTGTCTGGTTGGCACTCTTCCTGATAGGGTACCTGGTATTCGGGGCCCTGGTGTGGTCATACCTTGAGACTCCACTGGAAAAAAAGTTTAAAGAAACACTGGACATATCTCTAACCGAATTCAAATGGAATCATTCTTGTATAAAAGGTAAAAGAAATCAAATTATTTGTTTTCATGTGTATGTGTAAACTTTAAAAAGTTAGTATAACTGTGCTAGGTAGATTAAGCTGTGTCAAGCTCACCTGGCATACCTCATGAGGATCGAATTGATTGCTATATAAAATTAGTTAGTCTCTATGAAAACACATTCATTCATTCATTACAATGCGTTTCGGTTTGTGTGTGTGTGTGTGTGCGCGCGCGCGTATGTCCGCCTGTCTATTTAAAAAATGAAGCGAAAACATTGCAAAAGTTTAAAAAATATTTGCAAATGAAAAAGTGCCAGTAAAAAAACTATGGACATTACATAATTACATGCGAGTCTCGGAGAGTGTAAAAAATAATTGTATGGGCGGACGCACTATTTTTCAGGTTTTAACAATAATTTCCCTAATTTACTAATTTTATTTTTTAAATAAGTTTAGAGACTAGAGATGCAAATTTACTACATCATTACACTGATAAACAGATCAAGTATTTTTTAAAATTCATTTACGTGGGTATCGCAAATGCTAGCTAGACTGACCGTTTCAGAGAAAGTAAAACTGTTGTTCGATTTTGAAATCACTTATTTTTCCTAGTTTTCTTAGAATCTCATTTTTTTTTAAAATAGATCCTTTATTTTTTTGCTAGCCACTCGACTGCTCTACATCCCAGTGATCGAAATAGGCATGATGATTCCTTCGTTTTTGGCTGACATTTAAAAAAAATAATATAATTTAAAAATTAACAATTACATTTCTTCTTAAGTTCTTAACTGACAACGAGTAGATCTCCCACCCTCCATTCTGAGGACATAGTCATTTGACATTTGGCAGTATTTTTTTAAATTTTTTTTAACACTTATCCACCACGCATTCTCTGTTTAAATAAAAGAATAAAACTAGAAGTCTAAAAAGGCATAATCCTATGTAATTTGTGGCGTGTAAGTTTGTTTTATATTGAGATCTTTATTCTGCCTTTAGATTTCAATAAGGTTTTTTTTTATCACACCTGTTACACACGACCATGGGTTGAAAAAAAAGTCATCATTGGACGTATCTTTCGCGTTTTTTTTGCAAAACAAAAAACAGTTCTGAAATGTTTTTTTACAAAATACTTTTGTAAGAAGGAAAAAACTAACAAAAAAAGATTGAAAAATGTACATACATGGCTATGAACCCTTTTTAGATTCACTTTCTTTCACTACATGTTGTCTCACAAAGTAAAAAATAACTGTTTTTAATTTTATTTCATTGGAAGAGAAAAAGATAACTTGTCATATGGATACAACATTTTGTCAGTCAAATCGGTGAAGTTTTAATATTTTTAAATGTTTCACTGTTTTCTCAATTGTTGGCGGGAGAAATAGAACAATGGGAAAACAACTTGAATTTGATAAGTGAGTGAGATGTATTGAATTGAATTGAATTGTCTTCTTAAGGACACATTGTTAAATTTTAGTCATCGTTTGTTTTGTAGTGATACTATTCAATCAAACCTCATCGAAAACATTAATTGAATCATGGAAAATGGAAATTATTAGCAATTTAACATGGTATCACGAGTTTTAAACAACTTTAATTTTTTTTTCATTCACTTCTATTAGTGACACAGCAACTTTTCAGGGTATCGTGGTAGGAGTGAAAAGAAAAATTGTAATAATTTTTTTTATTTTAACGTTGTTGACAATATTGACGCACGGTAGGCAATTTTTTTTTTCATTCGCGCCCTGACTTTACCACAACTCCTCATAGTTTTTTGCCATTTTAAAAAACTAAAGTAAAACATATCTCTTGTGATAGGAAGTAATATTTGACGATTTAGAATTTTGCAATTTTTATGTATTTTATAAATAATTTACTTAAATTCTTTTTTTTTCAATGTTAATAAATGTGTATTGAAAATCAAGAAGAAAGCGATTGTCTCTGATTAGAAATTAACTATACAAGCATTTATTAACAAAATAGAGCTATATCCGAGTTACACTGTACTTGAAAAGTTACCCTTTTTAAAACTTGTTAGTTAAAAACTTGGAGAAGTTTGTCTCATATGTAAAATTTCATGCAAAGTTCTTATATAAGTTAAGTTTTTATTTACTAAGTTTAGCTTAGTTTAGGGTTTGGCACAAGGTCACAAGCAGGTAACACACAGTGAGGATCAAATTCACTAGTAATGGTGAACCAGACTTGGATTATTTAATGTTGAATTTTGTTTGGGGCTTTTAGTAAGGATCGAATTCACTACTCAGTAGTAATGTTCAACCAGACCACCCTTGCTAACCATTACCCCAAGCTGAGATACTTTTGTTTTGATAAAAGGTCGCAAGTATGGAGCACCCGGTGAAAATTAAACTAATTTCACAGTAATAAACCAGTCTAATTTTAAAGGTAGATTACTTCAAATTAATTGTCTAAAATTAAATAGATGAGGTCACTATTTAAAATGTAAGATTATACAGAGTGCAGCAGAAATACCTCCCACATAATGGTAAGACATTACCATTTAGTGGCAATGGTGTCTTCGTCTAGCTAATGCCTTACCATTATGTGGGATGGGAGGGTATATGTGTGTGGTATTTCTGCCATACCCTGTAATATAAGTAAAAATAGCAATTGAAAAATTGTATATTTAAAAAGAATCACGCAATAAAAAAATGAAATTAACCAATTGAAGTTATTTTTTTTAATTAATGTTTACTAGTTTTAACCCATGAAAATTTCAGTTTTTCTATTTTAACATTCTGATTAATTTTTATTCTTAAGTTAATAATTAAGTAATCTCATAGAGTTCTACAACTGTTGTATTGTTAAATATTTGAACTTAACAATATATTACAATAAAAATCATAAATATGAATGCTGGATGTTATTTTAAGAAGTGAAAAGATTTGAAATTGACAACTTTATCCTTGAAACAGCCATTAAACACTTCTATCTTTCCTTCTTTCTTTCATTCATTTTCTCACTGAAACCAAGTAGTGTCTTTTCCCCTCTTTCCATGTGGTCATTGAGAGCTGATGACTGTGGAGACCACTTTAACAAGGAAAACTCATGAACCAATCTCCCACTATTTTGAATTTGTACTGTATTGAAAGAAATGGCCACCAGAGAATGGGTGCACTGTAGTCATAAATTGAAGGAGATGCTCAGCCACAATACCTAGGTAGGCTGTGGAATTTAAACAATCTTTTATTGGTACCAAGGGTCCCAGTGTATGTCAAGAAATTACTACCCCATGCCATTACACCACTATCACTGGTCTGAACCATTGATACAAGGCAGGAAGCATCCATACTTTTTACACCAAATTCTGGCTATACCATCTAAATTCCATTGCAGAAATTGAGATTTATCAGACCAGGCAACATTTTCAAATCTTCTATTGTCCAATTTTTATGATTCCTAGTAAATTCTAGTGTCAGTTTTTTGCTCTTATTTGACAAGAGTAGCACCTGGCATGGTCTTCTACTGCTATAGTTCATCTGCTTTAAGATTTGACATGTGCATTTAGAAATGCACTTCTGTATATTTCTGTTGTAAAAGAGCAGTTATTTGAGCTACTGTTGCTTTTCTATCAGCTTGAGCCAGTCTAACCACTCTCCTCCAACATTTTTCATCCACAAAAAATGTCGCTCATTGAATTTCTTCTTTTTTGACCATTCTTTGTAAACCCTAGAGATGATTGTGTGTGAAAATCAGCAGTTCTTTAAATACTCAGACCTACCTGTCTGGCATCAATGACCATGCCTCATTTAAAGTCATTTAAGTCACTTTTCTTTCCATATTGATACATGAAAGAAAATTCAACAGGTCACCCTAACCATGTTTAAATGCATATATTAAGTAGGTACATAAGATTTTTACTTAAGGAGGTACACATGTTCAGATTCACAAATTGTCAATTAGATGCAAGCACAAAATATATCTGTTAAAAAGGCTTTCCTTTAACTGATGCACTTCAAATCTTTATTTTTTGTTCATATTTTTTTGTGTAGAAATACATTCTTATTTTATCTAACAAATACTCTAAGGTATTAAGAAACTGAATATGAAGGTTTAGTACAATGAATTTATGACTATTCAATCTAATTTGAAAAGATGTGCAAGAAAAGAATTTAAGATATAATTATAGATCTAAATTCTGTTGAAGAGGATTACTTGGGCAAGATAAAAATGTATTTCTTTTTTCAATACTATTCAATTGTTCGTATGCTGATCAAGTTCAGATAATTGATTAGACCATATATGTTATCTGAATTATGATAAGTTTGTACTGACTTCTTTATAAACATTTTCTTGCATGTCAATCTATGTTAATGTGAATTGTTGGTATAAGAAACTGTTAAAATTATAACTTATCAATCCCCTTTGGAAGCAGGTGTAGACTGTTCATAATTTGATATGGCACCAATATGTAACATCAAAATTTATACTATGTTAAAATTACCTTTGTTATTTAAACTTTTAATTTTTAATGTAAAATTTAGTTTCATTTATGTTCTTTTGCCTATGTCAGAATAATTTTGCCAATGCTTTTCAGTGTGTACTACATGACATAGTATGTCAACATGTCATTTTTAAAAGCTGCTTTAAACTAAAACAAGGTAACTTACTTTGAACTGAAATAACTTTCATTGAAATTTGTTAGAATCATTCTTCCTTTACAAAAATGTAATTTTGCAAAACATGTACATTCATACGTTGAATATCTTAAAACATTATATGATGCAACTAAGTATATAAAACTAATGAAATGACATCAAATTTTATGCATTAGTTAGCAGTATCCCTATTAGTACATAACATGCCTGTCATTGTTAGTCTTCTAATCAGATTTTTATATTGTTTTATATGTATATGAAATTGAATCAGTCTATTTGAAATGAGTTAATTTTTAAATATTTTTACAGCTTATAGGTGTAAATTTTACCAACTGCTACTACCCTTAAACTCTTTTGTATCAAGTATGATTTTTAAACTAAAAATGGATCCTGAAGAACTTCAGCA